ATTGCAAAGACCATGGCCTGTATTAGATGCACCTTAGTCTCCAGAGTGACACCATTGCTCTTCAGTACTTTGGAGAGGTCCCTAACAGCAGACTTTTCCATGGCAATGTGCCTTTTAATTTCCTGGCTGCTGGTGCCAAGAGTGTTGACTGTGCAGCCAAGCAAACTAGTTAACAGTTTCAATCTCTTCACCATCCATCCTGATGCTGCCAATTGGTCCAGTGGTGAGAATCTTTGTCTTCTTGATATGAGCCTCAATGGTCATAACAACTTTATAAATAATGGCCCTGAACCCTGCCCTATCCTGGGCCATCCTCACCATCTCTGACACACTTGAGCCCATGTTACAGTAACTGTGTGAAATGGAAAAAAAAATTCATCAAGAGGGAGTTACCTCAAAAAGTGATGGCATAGTCTTTTAGTAGACTATAGGCTGTAATATAATAGGTAAATCTTTAGCCACTGACCTGGAAAGATAGTGTTGAAATGGGAAGGAAGGGGGGGGAAAGATTCATGTCACAAAACATTATATGTAAAGTTATTCATATTTTCAATACACACATAGTTTTGTGCTGTCGAGTCACTTGTGACTCATAGCGACCCTATGTACAACAGCCCTGAAACCTTCTGTATCCTGTGCCAACTTTACTCTCTCAGACACACCTACCTTCATTACTCCAGTCATTGTATATCAATCCATCTCATCGATGGTCTCCCTCTCTTTCTCCATCTCTCCACCCTTCCAAGCATGACATCCCTCTTCAAGAACTGGTCTCTCCTTGCAGCATGTCCAAAGTATATCAAACGAAGCCTCAGAATTCTTGCTTCCAAGGAGCAGGCTGGCTTCACCCTCTCTAGTACGAACCTGTTTGCTCTCTTGGCAGTCCCTGGTATACTCAATACTCTTCTCCACCACCACAGCTCAAAGGCATCAATTATCTTTCTATCAACCCTAGTCATTGTCCAGCTTTCTGATGCATAGCAAGCAATTGCAAAGACTATGGCCTGGATCAGGTGTACCTTAGTCTCCAGACTGACATCGTTGCTCTTCAGTATTCTGGAGAGGTCCCTGACAGTTGCTTTCCCAATGCAATTCGTCTCTACACACATATACACATCGAAAATAACTGGAAGTAGTGATAGTGAGATCTAGCAAGCTTTTGTTTTATTATACTGCTTTAATTTTTTATATAGTAAAAATACTTTAAAAATAATCTGTAAGAAGTCTTTAAAAACAAAAAAAGCAAAGAGTTCCATTATGTATAATTAAAAAACCCGAATGCTAGATATAAAATATATGAGACTCTTAAAAGTGCAGAGAAGACACAGACCACTTAGGTTCTCTGAAGCCTAAGGAATAAAACACCAGTGAGTTTTCTGGGGTTTCATTTGACTTCATTTATCTCAGACTTAGAACTGAAAAAGCTGGCAGCCCAAAAATGCCAGTGGCACAGACGGGGGTGGGGATGGGGAGGAAATCCAGTGAAAACCTACTTACTTTAACATAAGGGCCAAATAAAGGGCTGCTTAGAAATCATGACAGAACTGTTAAAAAGGGCTGCTTAGAAATCATGACAGAACTGTTAAAAACTGTAAATAGCTGGAATAATGTCCTTCATTGGGTGCATGGCCCTCTGCCTGGTCCTCCACAGCCAGCCCTTGCATTCCGTTCCCATTCTTTACTCAACCTCTCCCCCTCCTTGGATGCCTGCTGCAGTCAGGTGTGCTCCCGTCTCCCCTGGCGACCTTTCTGCTCTTGCATCTCCAGGGCCTTACTGTTCATTGCTAATGATCCTTCCTCCAGCAAAGCCTGTCCTTGGTGCTTATCCTGAAGCATCATCCCTCTGCTGTACTGTGGCATATGGCTCTCCCGACACCCAGCAGTCTTTCTGCCTTGTCTAGGTCACTTGTCTTTGTAGCTCTTTTTCCAATTCTACCTTGTCCAATATAGGACTTAGTCACAAATGACTATTTAATTAACTATTTTTTTAAAATTTAATATTTTTTATGTGTGTACTGTAAAATCACATCTGACTGGTACAGGAGGAAATTGTTCCTCCTTCTCCAGCAGAGCATCTGGTGGATTTGAACCGCACCTCTAGGGTTGCAGTGCAGCTTCTTGCCACTAGGCCACCAGCGCTCCCTAATAACTAACATTTTTTAAAATGTCTAAAATCCAGTTGTTCAATGGTGCTAACCATATAGCAATTGCCCGATGACCACATGTTGCCACCATAGTGGACAGCGCCAATCTAGACCATTTCTGTCATCACAGAGAGTTCATCCGGGTTGCAGCTCCCCACTCCCAGCTCATCCCACCCCACGTAGCAGGAAGCCTGGCTTCTCCCTGAGGTCACCTGAGGAGAAAGCTCTACAAGTACTCAGGATAGCGCGTCTCAGAAAGCACAGGCCTCACTCAGCAGAGGGGCTGCCAGGGACAGCAGGCTGCCCCAGTGAAGTGACACTGCATGCAGCTCGGTCCAGAGGACAAACGCCCAGACACCAACTGCCCCTGTTCTGTTCTCCCTACTGCCCTGAGAGGTGGGCAGGCCAGGCAGGAGCTGGCATCTTTGTTTGGGATATGTGTAAACTGAGTCCATGTATAGATGGAAGCTGGACCAAGATCCCTGAGTTTATTAGTGACAGACTCAAGGTCTGACCTTCACCTGGGGCTGGAAGGGCTTCACATTTTCCCACCAGGATCCCGTATCTCTGGGGTATATGAGGCTCTGTCTGGGTCTGTGGAAGGACGTTCAGGGTTCCATTACAAAATCCTGATTCATCTTCCTGGAGTGCTAACCTTAGGCCAAATCCATAATTTTTATATTAAATACCAAAGCAGAAAGTATACACTTAAAAATAAGCCTTGAGTTTTCCAAGCAGTTTCATGTATGCATCATTCTCAGTCATTTGCATAGATGACGATGAGGAAGTTGAGTCCAAAGCTCAGGTCTTCTACTTATTTTTCAAATACTTATTTAGTCCTCACTGCATGTCAGGCAATGTCCTGAGCACTTTTCATAAGCTAACTCATTTTCTCATTGCTACAAATGTATTATGATAAATATGGATTTGCTATACATGTATGATTATAATTTTCATTTCATAGATGAGGAAAGTGAAGCCCCCAAACCACAGGCCAGTTGGTTGTAGATCCAGATTGGAATGCAGGCAGTTTGCTCCAGAGTCTTTGCTAGTTCTCAGCTCACCAGACTGCCTTGGCAAGAAGGCAAATGGAGGGCTGTGGAGAGAGGCAGACAGATTGTGGCTCTGCAGGCCAGGATTGCACTATAACCATTAGAAACGTCTGCACACAAAAGGAGCCGACTCGTCTGACTCATAAGGTAGTAAGCTGCCTGTCCCTAGCGGTGTGCAAGACAGAGAAGACTGCCTCTCGCCAGGGCCTCTAGATGTTGCCATGAATGGGGAAGGCTTGGGCTCTGTGACCTTGAAGGCCTTTGGGACTTGCCTTCTGTGAGTCTATGAATAACTTGCTTGGATGGCATAAAAAAAATCAAGGAGGCGACCTTAACAGTGGGTGAAAGGTCATAAGGAACTCCTTGGGGAGAGACAAAGTGGCTGGTCATGCCAGCACTGGCAGCAGCATCCCCTGGGCAGCAGAGCCAGGGAGAGGGTGGTCAGAGAAGAACTCCTGACACCCTTCAGATGTGCTCAAAAAACTATGCAAGTAACTTG